TTTCTTTCTTGAGTATATCATTGTTTATAACAAGCTCCACAATTATTTACAAAACAGCAATTAATTTTGTTATCCATATAAAAATATAATGAGGAATCTCTGTCTAAACACTTAATACAAAAAATCTTAATTAATCTTAATGTCCCTAACAAAAAAAGTACACTTGAACACAAACAATATCATATCAATATGTACTTATAAAGAACATATTGCTTGAACAAGTAGCTATTAGTTTAATAGACATATTTTAAATGCCTATCTACTAATTTTTGTAAATTCTCCATTAACAACTTACAAAAAGTTGTGTAAAAGTAAAAGATAACTAAATATAATTTTATTTAGTTATGTAACTTAACATGGTAATGTTAATTAGACATTATTATATCAATTTATCACTTTTTTTTATTGTTTATGCGACACAATGGTCGCAAAAAGTGACCAACGGAGCCGTCCAGTTTCGTAGACCTGAGAGATGTGATAATAAAAACAGTTCGAAGATGGTGTCATTGAATATAAAATAAAAATAATAAGAAAATATAAAATGAGTGATAAGACTTTTGTGAAGGTAAAGAACGAAGTAAATGCTCAGAGGGCAGGGAGAGAACAAACTAACACTCTAATCACTCTGTATGTAGATCATATGTAACAAAGAACAAATATTTGATATACTGATTTTGAAGACCGTTGATGTCTACAGGTGTAATGGTGTAGTGCATTAGTATGTACCGTTTGGTCGTCTAGTATGGTCTCGTTATGTCTTCGTTCACATTAAAATCGGGTGAATAGAAAGCTAAACACACTCACTTCTTGCGCTTATGGGCTAGCACATCAGAGCCAGACGTAAGACCTACAGAATGGATTTCAATTGATCGAATGCACACATTAGTCACCGTAGGCCACAAGCCATCACTCTTAACCAAAAGAGCTACTGCCCCGTGCTGGTGTGGAATGATGTGCTATGAAGTGAGATTTCAGATCCGAGCACATAGTCAGCGAGCGCTGATCCGACGTGCATTGTGGAGCTTCCGATTGAACGTGTGCGTGAGTGTCAGCGTAGTCATTAGGTTATTGAGCGCCGTAACCACATCCAGCGGGATAGCCTAATGTCCGTTTTGTCATTGTGACGTACATTGGAAAAAGTCGGGGCTCACCAGCCACAAAGAATAAATTTTTGCTTATGCGACACTATGATCGCAAAAAGTGACCAACGGAGCCGTCCAGTTACGTAGACCTGGGAGATGTGAAAGTAAAAACAGATTGAAGATGATGTCATTTAGGTAAAAAAACATAAATTAATGCAAAGACTATTTAGTTGGAAGAGTAAAAGTAAGCAACTCAGGAAAAGGGGAATAAAAACTCACACTCTAGTCATCTTTTAATAAATGATGAAATAATGATCTATGAGTAAACAAGTCAATAAAAATCCGCTGGTTTATAATGGTATTCATAACTAAAATAATCGCACCATACAAGTGTCTAATAAATGTGGTACTATATATGTTCTAAACTCTAGATAAAAAATTGATAACTGATAATCACCTGTGTAACATAAAAAATATATAAATGTCGTAAATGTACCAAATTCATAATAAAAAGCTCATAAAGCGCAAAAATACATGGGTTTAAGAGGTAAAAAAATGTTGGTGCCATAATAACCAATTAGAATTAAGTAGTGGATAAATGGTGATCCCCCTCCTCAGGAATGCACTGCGATCACCAATGACGTTTCGGAGAGCCCGAGACCTGCACTAACGCCACTCGTCAGGGGCGTGTCCTTGCAACAGATCTCACCGCCTGCACTCTACGTCATGCTAGTCAATATTGCAATATAATAGGACTACACTACAAAAGCCAAAAAACCAATCCCTATCCCAGTTTTTGAAAACAGCTCCAACATTCTTAGAGATCTCGTGAGGGTGGTGAGGAATGCGCGTGGTGTGACCATAAATAGATATGTAAACACATATAAATATAAGGTACCCTTACATTAGAAGAAACAAACTTGTACACATGTACGTATGCGCGTGTGTAAATAAACAATTATAATGTGTAGAAATAACAAAAAGCGAATAGAAAATAGTAATTAATAATTAATAGTAACTTACCGTTTCTTTTATGGCTGAAATATGTATTATAAATATAATAAGTAAATACCACTCATAAGCATTGATACTAAGTTAGGATGTTTTGTGGTTAGTACGAAAGTAGTTAAACGAAAGTATGATAAAAAAATATATAACTCTAAATAGTATGTTCTAATATAAATCTTGCCTGGTAAGTAGAGACAATAGCTATCACACAATACAGACTCAGAGTAATTAAATAACGATTAGCCAGAGATAAAAATATATACAAACATCAAATCAGTAGGCAGAAAATAATGAGGAAATAAAAAGATAAGCCAATATATGCGATTTTAAACTAATAGCTTATAACCACTAAAAATGTAACGTTAAAAAACAATATTGTTGACAAAACGACCAAAGGAACGTTAGTGAAGACTGTATAGTGCAAACCACAACAAACTAACTTAGCGACGTCAAATCGAGAAAATTAGATAGAAACAAAAAAACCTAACGAAATCGTGATTAGTCTAAACTTATCTAATAAACTTATCTAACGTAGAGTGCAGGCGGTGAGATCTGTTGCAAGGACACGCCCCTGACGAGTGGCGTTAGTGCAGGTCTCGGGCTCTCCGAAACGTCATTGGTGATCGCAGTGCATTCCTGAGGAGGGGGATCACCATTTATCCACTACTTAATTCTAATTGGTTATTATGGCACCAACATTTTTTTACCTCTTAAACCCATGTATTTTTGCGCTTTATGAGCTTTTTATTATGAATTTGGTACATTTACGACATTTATATATTTTTTATGTTACACAGGTGATTATCAGTTATCAATTTTTTATCTAGAGTTTAGAACATATATAGTACCACATTTATTAGACACTTGTATGGTGCGATTATTTTAGTTATGAATACCATTATAAACCAGCGGATTTTTATTGACTTGTTTACTCATAGATCATTATTTCATCATTTATTAAAAGATGACTAGAGTGTGAGTTTTTATTCCCCTTTTCCTGAGTTGCTTACTTTTACTCTTCCAACTAAATAGTCTTTGCATTAATTTATGTTTTTTTACCTAAATGACATCATCTTCAATCTGTTTTTACTTTCACATCTCCCAGGTCTACGTAACTGGACGGCTCCGTTGGTCACTTTTTGCGATCATAGTGTCGCATAAGCAAAAAAAAAAAAAAAAAAAAAAAAAAAAAAAAAAAAAAAAAAAAAAAAAAAAATAAGTCTTTTTGAGCTCAGAAGAACATTTGCTTCCTTCAAGTAGCAAAATGTTGGCAACTAGAGTTAGAAAAAAAAAAATTTTGGTAACCTTTCCTTTATGAGGATTTCTTTTAGTAATTATTGTGAAGTTTTGAAAAAAAGATGATTACTTATCTTTTTGTTTAAAATATTAGAAAATGCCAATGGATGAGCCATTTACTGCAAACAATTCTGCTTTATGGCCTAAAAATCTGTCGTAGTAGATTAGTAATCTGATTAGAACGCACTGCTGTAGTTATTCAAGAGCCTCCTCAAAGTCCTTTATCTTTTTCACGAGACTTGTATAATATAAGGTACCTGAAATATCTCGCAATGGAGGAGTTTGGAAACTCGATCAATCGAGTGCAACTTTTAAATTATTTCTTTGCTTTCCGTGCTCACTTTTTGGAAGCAAGCAAGCTTAATCATTCGCATCTTTTACGTTGGAATAGTGGCATCGATCAAAACTGGAAAAAGCTAGCTGATAAAGTAAAAAGCAACTAAAACAATCCTAATCATTGAGACTATTAAATTAAGTGGATTTTTTTGTCTAGTCCACATCTTAATAAAATATCATATATTGCGTAAAAAAGCGACTTACTGTCGGTAGCATCAACTGCATAGAGACAAGAAAAATTTCGTATATTGTAAAATTTTCAGAAACTGATCAAACATATATAGACATTTGCTCATTACCAAAAATGTCTCAAGTTTCATCGCATATTACAAAAAAAAATTGTGAATTGTAAAACATTGTTCAAAGCACATAAAGTTATTATTTCAAATAAAAAACGCTAAATGCTCCCTAGAAGCTTGTAAAACGTGATTCGAAGCAAATACGTTAAGTTAGTATTTCAAATACAAAATACTAATTGACCTCTAGCGGCTTGAAGTTGTGATTTAAAACAAGGTAGAAACTTTTAAATCAATAAATTTACAAACTTGAAAAGTGGCTATAATACCAAAAGCCCCCACACTTTTAAAAGTGAGGGGGTTGACGCCCCCACTGTTCTGCCACACCTGTATATATATATATATATATATATATATATATATATATATATATATATATATATATATATATATATATATATATATATATACATATATATATATATATATATATATATATATATATATATATATATATATATATATATATATATATATATATATATATATATATATATATATATATATATATATATATATAAATCTTTTAATCGTATAAAAATGTCAATATTATTTTGTGTTATAAGAAGGACCATGGAAGTTAAGACAGATGTTCATCAAGCGGTAATCTTCAAAGTATTTTTAAAGTTTTGTGGTAAATGTAGTCGGCTTGAATTTACTTTTCCGCTTTTTTTCTAATTCTTATGATTTAGAGAAAAAGCGCAAAAGTTAATTCAAAACTGCGTTAGTTATCCATCGTTTACATGGATTAATGACATTAGTAAAAAAGAAAGACGTAAATTGTAATCTAAATTTGCTTTTTAATTTTTAAATAAACTAAATCGTCAATAATTAAATTAGGTTTCGTTTAAACCGAAACTCCTTGTTTCTTTTTATAGAAATTAACATTAAAGAAATACTAAAGCGCTATTTTTTGATTAAAAAAACATCACAAAGGAATAAAAGTAGAAAAAATTTTCGGAATTTCTTCCTACACTTTATCATCAAATTTACATTCAATTCATCCAAACGCAGATTAACATTGATATCATTTTGGAGTATTTTATACGCCTAAATGAATCATCCTTTGGTTTAAGTAACAAATATTTTTTCTTCATCAAAATAAAACAATGGCGCTGTACAAATTGTGAAAATGTAAAACAAATCAAATTGTTTGGACAAGTTCAGATAAATCAGTTTGTCAATTGTTTGTATTTCACCGCATAACAACAAACAAAAAAACAGTTGCGGTGGTAATAAACAATGGCAACTATAAATTGGAAGGCAAGTAAAAAGTTTTGCTATTAAACCAAAATATTCTGTTAGTTTCAGGTAATTTACGAAGCTCAGATACTACGTTCAGGTTGGTATTTTACACCTAGTTTACTTTTTGTAAAGAGTAAAGTTCAAAATTAAATAAAGAGTAAAGTTCAAAGTTTCGTAAATATTTAAAAGAGAAAGTTCAGAACTGTATTTTTTTTTTAGATATGAAAATGTGCTGCAAAATATTTATCATAGTCCTTATAATTGTTCTTAACACAGTGTTAGATTGTAAAGTGAATGCTTTAAAATGTGACGATTGCACAACTAACTTTGATCTTTGTTTAAATACTTCACGATCTCTTAAATCAACTTTCAATGAATCTGCACAACAGTTTCAAGTGTGCCGTGCAGCTAAAGAGTCATGTTTTGAAGATTGTCGTAACAAGAAATAGAAGTATCATGTTTTGAGATTTGCCAAAAACAACAAAAATAGAAAAACATTTTGTTAACATTAAAAATAAAAAGTAAAATTTGTGTTCTTGTGGTGTTTGTTTTTGTAATGTGAGAAAAATATTCTTTTGATAAGAGATGTGTTCTTTTGAGATTTTGGTGAGAGAGTGATGCGTGATCTTTGAATGTGAAACTAATGAAAATGTTTGTATTTAAAACTATAAAAAATATCTTATGTTATTTTAAAAAGCTATTTATTTAAACGACTTGTATATTTATGTTATTTAAAAAAGTTATCGTAAATTATTGTGTTTTTTTTTGCTGGTATTTTTAAAAACTTTGTTTAAAAAATGATTCGTAACCTAATTATTCAAAATAAAATAATTCTTTTCCTAATTACTCAAAATTGCGCATTTAAAAAAAAGTTTGAAAGTATAATTAAGATTGAAAAACTGAAATACTAAACAAGTTTTACTGCATAAAATTAGTGAATCTAGTGACAACTATCGAGGGTGTTCAACCGCCTAAAATGTTTGTGGTACTACACACAAAACAAAAAATTTGTCATCAAATATTCATTTTAATAATAAAAGTTAAATAAAAAGGAACAAACATTTGACCCTTATACATTGATATTCGTAGTTACGTTTAGATTATTTTAAAAATGAATATTTTTTCGGTTGTCATGCAATATTCAAATTTGAATATTTAAAATGGCGACTGTACTTTTCGCGTACATGTATAATAATTTATGAAACGTACCTAAGTTATTCAAAAAACATTTTTAATACTTGAGAAACTGCTTAGCAGTCTTTTTAATCAAATGTCAAAGATTTTTAATCAAAACAAAGAAAACAGTTTGAACTAATATTTTAAAACTTAAACTTTTTTTAAAACTTAAAACTCTTACCAATTTAGCGATAGTGAAAGTCACTGTGTACTTCATGTGCACAGGCGTGTTAGAAGCAATTTTTTGCTCTCAACTTGTTCTTTAGGTTAAAACTTAAGAAGAAAAAAATGGGTGCTAAAAAATGACGTCAAACTTATTACAGTCAACAAAAAAAAGTTATTCTAAATTTAAAAATATATATAATATACGCAAGGACCTGTCAAGAGGAACAAAAAATATTTAAAAACCATATGCTGAAAATGTTTCCTTACCAAAATATAACGAATTACAGAGTATATAAACTACAGACTCAGAATTTACAGGCTGGCACAAAAAGGCAAAAAAATTTTGTTATATATCCAGATGAGTTTTAGAGAATAATAGAGAATTTTCATAATGTAAATTTATGTTCATATCAATAATCTATTGAATATATGCATGAAGAAATGTTTTACTGGAATTTAAAGTTGTTTAGTTTGTTTGATTTTTCGTATTGAGAAATGTCATTTTAAGTGTTTTATATTAAAAAGGTAAAATTGTATTTCTTTTTTTAAAAAAGCTTGTGACTATTGGTATGTATACCACAATGACATATTTGTCAAAAAAAATCTATATCCCCCTTCTCCATTTAATCAAAAAGTGGTTTGAAAGAATTTGTCCAGTAAAACAAAAAACATTTAAACATTTTTAGGACTTATTAGGTAAAGACAAAAATATATTTTTTATAAAAAGATCATTTAAATAACAAAACACACTATTAGTGATAAGTAAAACCAATAAAATTTGATAAATATAAACTTATAAATATAAATATTAGTTTTCTATATCGGTTGTATCGAACTCTATCTCTAGCTCCCCGTCACCACATTCGTGAATATCGGTATTTACACACCTTGTGCATTTACACATATCCGTTCAGGCAAAGTTGTTTTTATAACATTTGCATCTCTTCGTAGTGCAATCGCCACTACTTCCACAAACACTCAATTCAATTAAACCCAATGGAACAAGAAGACATTCTTTTAATATTGGATCAATAGGTTCACCACTGATCTCCCAGCCAAAGATTTTTTAAAGGTTTGTGAGATCTTCTTAACACTAGATACAAAATGAGTTCTAAATATTCTGTATTTTAGAGCGCTCATGTTAGGTGGTAAATGCCCGGCACTTTGATGATACTTTAAGAAGAGCAATCAGCCAAGGTTGATATGTTATAAAGCATATTTTTCAATCCATTTTTTTTGACTGCAAAACGCTCAATATCTTGAAGAGTAACCTAATTTGGCGATGACTCAGTATCGTCTAACATTGATAATGCACACATAATCCTGTTAATTTGGATTTTCCATAGACGCGGCCGGTCTGGTCACATCCTGTTACACATGGAAACCCAGCAAAGCTTTTAAACGTTTGAAACCAAGTGACTCAAAACAATTCTTCTGATCCTTTTCCAGTTTGTAAGTATGATACAAAAGGTAAATATTCACAGTAAAATATTAGCAGCAAAAGTACGTCTGTATCAGGGGAGAAAACATAGAATTCTGAAAACGGATTACATCTTGCAATATTAATGGCATGCTGGGCCGTAGGCGGGAGCGGATAGGACTGCAGCCCCAGGTTCTTACAAAAAAATAGGCCGAAGGGCCCGTGACTTTTTTTTTTTTTTCTTTTTTTGGGAACTAGATAACTCTTCCTATGTTTCTCAGTTTTTTTAAATCAATTTATTGGGAGCTTTGGAGGCGTTCAGAAGCGTTGTAAATATATAAATGAATAGAGATATAGTATTCTATTTAAGGTCCTATACTAAAAAAAAATAGAAAAAAATCATTTTTTCAAAAATTACAAATTCTGAAATTTCAAGCATTCTACATTCCGAATATATATAAATCATTAGGTTAAATCATTAGATTTTGGCAGGGTGAGTGCAATTATATGTTGTTAAAAATCTGTGAAAACTTCATGATCATACCATTCTTGGTTCACAAACTGTTTATCGCAGCGTGTAGTCCATATTTTGGGTCCATGGACCCAAAATCTTGACCCTACTTATTTTTTTTTCGCTTTTATAATATTTATTGTGTTTTAAACATAAAATGTTATATCATTTCTAAAAAATCAAAAAATTAGAGTGTATTTTAAATTTTTTGAGTTTTGTAGTATAGAACCACCTTAAGTTTCATTTTTTATTTTATGATCATTTCCGTTACCGCAGAAAATTATAGCATTGCTCATTCGTTTACAAAATTAAAATAAAAAATGAAAATGAGTGGCCTGAGCGGTTGGGACAAAATGCAAAAAAAGAAGAAGAAGGAGATTCAATAAAATAAATTATTAAACAAAAATAAAAAAATGACCGAGTTTTGTAATGCTGCAAGTAGTGTCTCGGTATCAGCTACAGCGAGAGCGAGTTCAAATTCACTAACTATGTCAATAATGTTAATAAATTCCAGGTAGTGCTAATAGTGTCTCTGCAGACTCAGCTACAGCGAGTTCAAACTCATTTATGTCAGTACCAGTTCCAGATAGTTCAGTGAGTTCACACTCACTAACTATGTCAGCACCAGTTCCAGGTAATTCTAATAGTGTCTCAGCAGACTCAACTACAGCGAGTTTAAGCGTCTCAATTATCTCAGCAGAGTTACCCTTGGCTCTGACGACCCACACTGTTAACACCAATGTGGCTGAGTGGATTATAACCGACAACCTCTGTGAGTATTTCAGCAAAAGTGCAGATGAGTTTTTATCATGCGAACATATGGATAGCGATTTTAAATCATCTACTAAAGTACTGCCGGATGACACTTTTAAGTTTAAACGAAAGTGTACAAAGTCCCTTTTTTCCGGGAAAAAGTGAATGGTGAGAAAAATTAAGAGAGACAGGATTTGCTATTTCCCATCAACTGGTAAGATTTTTTGCGCCCATTGTAAATTATTTAATTCAAAAAGTGGAATTGGACCATACGCTTTGACGTCATCAGGACATGACGATCGGAAACATGCCGCAAGAGACTTAGTTTGTCATAAAACAAGTGAAACCCACATTCAATCAATTGAAACCCTTTTAACACGTAGGAAAGTTGGGGAGCACATTAGTAAGAGGCTCACAGAGCAATTTGAATCAAAGAAAAAGCACTGAAATGACATACGGTTGCGCATTCTTGCCGTAATCAAAATGTTAGCATCGCGTGGGCTGTCATTCCGTGGCAGTAACAAAATTGTGGGTTCTGTCCACAATGGGAATTATTTAGGTTGCTTAGAGCTACTGGCTGAGTTTGACATTGCTTGCAGAACATATTCAGAAAAGAGTGAACAAAGGTCGCAGTCTTGTGGCATATCTGTTATCAACTATAAGTGATGAATTTATTCATGTGTTAAGTCGAGACGTTTTGGACCACATTTTGACTGAGATTAAAGAAGCAAAATACTTTGCAGTTAGTCTTGACTTTACACCAGATGTTAGATGTACATCATTACACTTACCATTTTATTCCGTAGATCAGCTTTTATTCCGTTACATGATTTCTAATGGGCGTTTTGTGATATTTATTCCTATAGAAGAGCACATTGGGGAAGGATTAGCAACAAAGTTACTTGATTTTATGGAAAACACTGACATTTCAATTAAAGACTGCCGAGGTCAATCCTACAATAATGCTGCCAACATGAATGGCCGTTTCAATTGCATGTAAGCAAAAATAAAAGAACAGAATAACTTAGCTGAATACATACCATGTTGTGCTCATTCGCTTAACCTTGTTGGTCAATGTGCTGTAGGATATTGTTCTGAGGCTTTAACGTTTTTTGACTTTGTAATTAAGCTGTTTGTTTGTTTTTCTGCCTCCACCTCTTTGTTAGAATCGTTTGATGACAGTTTTAAAACCACTTAATATGCCTACCTTAAAAAGGATATCTGATAGCAGATATTCAGCACATTATGATGCTGTACACTCCCTCCGTGTTGAGAATTTATTTGTCTCTTATGGTCACAAACTGGTTGGCTATAAGCAAGTGAAGTCTACACTCGATATCATGTGTCAAGATATGTCTCAAAAGCCAGAAACATGACTTGAAGCAGCAGGATAGAAAGATGTAATGAGTCATCATGAAACAGGTATCCTAGTTCAATTATGGTCAAAAATTCTGAATAGGTTCAATTTAACTAGCAAGTACTTAAAAGGGGTAGACATGGATCTCAACACCGCTACGGAACTGCTTCGTTCTTTCGGTGATTTTGTTCATTCTCTTCGGAGCAAGTTCACAGCATTTGAAAAAGAAGGAAAGGATCTGGCTACTGATTCGTATAAAGGTGAAGCAAGGCGAAAGCGCAAGAGGAACTAGAGGTGGAATTATGGTGACTCAGAAGATCTAGAGTTATCCCCTTCTGATAAGTTTAAAGTTGGTTTTAGCCAATAGT